ACTTTCAGCACTGCTCAGTTTTTTCTTGGTATTGTAACTTACATACGACGTCATGTGACGTCAGAGTCTAAACGCACCAAATGTCACATGCGATTTGACGAGCCCGATCTGAATTAAAACAATAGAAGAGTTTGCGCTCGCTCTAACGGTCGCACCGTCAACATATTATAGCATCATCATCTAGGTAGTCAAGAGGGTTGTCAATATCCCTGAATACTCTCTCTCTCGCCTGATACGACGATTTCGTCGAGCAAGCAACAACATGGGCGCAGCCATTTTTGCTTAAGATAGACTTAAGATATGTCAAAAGCTGTCGTAACTTTAAGATAATTCTTAAGAACTTTCTTAAGTTATGATACTTTCGAAAACCCTATTTAGTCTTAAGAAATGTCGTAAGTATATCTTAAGACGTTTCTCTGTACGTTAATATATTCCTCCGAGTTCCCCTAAAATTTCAATTCATTTATCTTTTCAAGGTTGACAACCTAATTGGTGATGTTATGAACTCGGTCCAGATTGATTCATCATATGACGAAGATCTCCATTGTATTGAACAGGCCGTGACACGCACAATAGTAGGTTACCACTTATATATATTCAGTGCGACTAGACTTCGGTTCATTTTCCCATATCCCTGAACAGTTTTCCAATGAAGTTAGTCAGAAAATATTTCTTTATTTATTTTTAAGGTCGATGATGTTTTTCCCACCCTTGACTGAAATGTATCTTTTTCTGAAAGAAAAAAATAATCAAAGGAGGAAAAGAATATTACTATCATTCTTTAAAGATGATGTCCTAATACTAGACTTTTCAAAAGAACATTTTTCACATAAACTCATTACCAAGATTGGAATCGGCAATTTTTCATTCATAAACAGTATGAAAACATGCTATTTGCGAAAAAAGTAAAACGTTATGACTCAAAGTCCACTATTTATTTCTAAAAACGAAGAGACTGATTCATACAAGTTTATATATGATTTTTCATTAATAACTTTTAAGCTTTTCACTTTCCTAAGACAATTACGAACGTGTCCATTTACTAATGATTTATAACAAACATACTAATTTACACAAGTATTTCTAATATAATTTATTTTTGAAGGTTAAATTTCATTTCTATACATAAACATAAACGTGTTTCTCTTAGTAGATAAAAAAAATAAATGTTTTTTTCTATGATTTTTTTAGAGCAGGTCTAACAGTGACGGAAATCAACCGGTGACATTTTCGTCAAAAGAAGAAGAAAGAACGTGGAAAAAGGAAAGAATAAAGAAGGATAATCATAACATTAGTAAGTACACAGTAGGACATCACAAAGTACACCACTCCGTAAATACCATAATCATAACATTAGTAAGTACACAGTAGGACATCACAAAGTACAACACTCCGTAAATACGTGAATTATCAATCATAGTATGTACACAGTAGGACATCACAAAGTACAACACTCCGTAGATACCATAATCATAACATTAGTAAGTACACAGTAGGACATCACAAAGTACACCACTCCGTAAATACCATAATCATAACATTAGTAAGTACACAGTAGGACATCACAAAGTACAACACTCCGTAAATACCTGAATTATCAATCATAGTATGTACACAGTAGGATATCACAAAGTACAACACTCCGTAGATACCATAATCTTAACATTAGTAAGTACACAGTAGGACATCACAAAGTACACCATTCCGTAAATACCTGAATTATCAATCATAGTAAGTACACAGTAGGACATCACAAAGTACACCACTCCGTAGATACCATAATCATAACATTAGTAAGTACACAGTAAGACATCACAAAGTACACCACTCCGTAAATACCATAATCATAACATTAGTAAGTACACAGTAGGACATCACAAAGTACAACACTCAGTAAATACCTGAATTATCAATCATAGTATGTACACAGTAGGATATCACAAAGTACAACACTCCGTAGATACCATAATCATAACATTAGTAAGTACACAGTAGGACATCACAAAGTACACCACTCCGTAAATACCATAATCATAACATTAGAAGGTACACAGTAGGACATCACAAACTACACCACTCCGTAAATACCATAATCATAACATTAGAAGGTACTCAGTAGGACATTACAAAGTACACCACTCCGTAGATACCATAATCATAACATTAGAAGGTACTCAGTAGGACATCACAAAGTACACCACTCCGTAAATACCATAATCATAACATTAGTAAGTACACAGTAGGACATCACAAAGTACAACACTCCGTAAATACCTGAATTATCAATCATAGTAAGTACACAGTAGGACATCACAAAGTACACCACTCCGTAAATACCATAATCATAACATTAGTAAGTACACAGTAGGACATCATAAAGTACAACACTCCGTAAATACCTGAATTATCAATCATAGTAAGTACACAGTAGGACATCACAAAGTACACCACTGTGTAAATACCTGAATTATCAATCATAGTAAGTACACAGTAGGACATCACAAAGTACACCACTCCGTAAATACCATAATCATAACATTAGTAAGTACACAGTAGGACATCACAAAGTACAACACTCCGTAAATACCTGAATTATCAATCATAGTAAGTACACAGTAGGACATCACAAAGTACACCACTCCGTAAATACCATAATCATAACATTAGTAAGTACACAGTAGAACATCACAAAGTACACCACTCCGTAAATACCTGAATTATCAATCATAGTAAGTACACAGTAGGACATCACAAAGTACACCACTCCGTAAATACCATAATCATAACATTAGTAAGTACACAGTAGGACATCACAAAGTACACCACTCCGTAAATACCATAATCATAACATTAGAAGGTACTCAGTAGGACATCACAAAGTACAACACTCCGTAAATACCATAATCAAAACATTAGAAGGTACTCAGTGGGACATCACAAAGTACACCACTCCGTAAATACCTGAATTATCAATCATAGTAAGTACACAGTAGGACATCACAAAGTACAACACTCCGTATATACCTGAATTATCAATCATAGTAAGTACACTAGGACATCACAAAGTACACCACTCCGTAAATACCCGAATTATCAATCATAGTAAGTACACAGTAGGACATCACAAAGTACAACACTCCGTAGATACCATAATCATAACATTAGAAGGTACTCAGTAGGACATCACAAAGTACACCACTCCGTAAATACCATAATCATAACATTAGTAAGTACACAGTAGGACATCACAAAGTACACCACTCCGTAAATACCATAATCATAACATTAGAAGGTACTCAGTAGGACATCACAAAGTACACCACTCCGTAAATACCTGAATTAGCAATCATAGTAAGTACACAGTAGGACATCACAAAGTACTTACTTACTTACTTAGTCCTCTTCGTGCTTTGAGCACATAAGGCCTGCACCGAGGACCTCCATCTCTGTCTGTCTGCTGCCATTGTCTGTACAGTGCCCCAAGTCCACCCTTGATCATTCATTTCCTTTTCAACCGACCGTCGCCATGTTTCCTTTGGTCGCCCTCTGTTTCTCTTTCCTGGTGGAGTCCATCTTAGGGCCACCCTTGGTATCTCTGATGGTTTCATCCTCATCACATGGCCAATCCATTTCCAGCGTCTTTCTTTAATCTGGTCCGATATAGCAGCTGTGCATGTTCTTTCATACAGCTCCTCGTTGGTGATCTTGTTTGGCCAGAATATCTTCAGTATTCTACGGAGACATCTAGTTTGAAAGGTATCCAGTTTTTGCGAGATGTTCTTTGTCACCTTCCATGACTCAGATCCATAGAGAAGGACTCCGATGACATTTGTTTTAAATATCCTTAGTTTGGTTTTGGATCTGATAATTGAGGATTTCCAGATGTTCCGTAGGTTGGCAAAGATGGCACGGGCTTTTGAAATTCTATTTTCTACGTCCATGGTGGAATCTCCATTGGCTGTGATCTTACTGCCAAGGTATGTAAAATTGTCTACTTCTTCTATTCTGTCATTGTTCGCTGTGACTTCTTTATCTATCTTTGTATTTATCCTCATTAACTTTGTTTTGTTTACATTTATCTTAAGTCCAATTTGTCTGCCATACTTGACCAGGTCATCAGTTTTGCTTTGAATATCTTTGTAACGCTGTGATAGTAAAGCGATATCATCTGCAAAGTCAAGATCTTCTAATGACTGTTGAAATGTCCAGGATATTCCTCGACTGGTCTGACTGGTAGTAATTTTCATAACCCAGTCTATGCAGAAACTAAACAGCAATGGTGAAAGCAGACCTCCCTGTCGTACCCCGGTTTGGATTGGGAAGCTGTCTGTTAGTTCAGTTCCGCAGATGACCTTTGCCTGGAAGTCCTTGTATAGCATCTGAATGATGGATATGATCTTATCAGGGATGCCGTAATGTTTGAGGATCATCCATAAAGCAGGACGGTGTATACTGTCAAATGCTTTGGCAAAGTCGATGAAGTTGGCATACAACGTAGCATTCCATTCATTGCTTTGTTCTAAAATTTGCCTCAAGGAAAATATCTGGTCTGTGCATGATTTTCCTTTTCTAAATCCAGCTTGCTCTTTACGAAGGTATGGGTCTACCACTGAGGCCATTCTGTTTAAGATGACTCTGCTTAAGACTTTGCTGGTAACTGACAACAACATAATCCCTCTCCAATTATTTGTGTCTGCTAGGTCACCTTTCTTGGGCAGCTTCACTATGAGACCAACCTTCCAATCATCTGGTGCTGTTTCTGTCTGCCAAATAGTTTGCAGGATATCTGTGAGAAGTCTAGGTGTTAATACTTCCTCAGCTTTTAACATTTCTGCATGTACTTGATCGATCCCTGGGGCTTTCCCATTCTTGAGAAGTTTGATGGCATGTTTTACTTCCTCAATTGTTGGTGTGTTGGTATCGATGTCCAAAGTGTCCATAGCTTCAATAATTTCAGCATGTTCTGCTGATGGACATTCCTGGTTTAATATCCTTTCAAAATGCTCTTTCCAACAGGTAAGCTCTTCTTCTATACTTGAGGCCAATACTCCATCTTGTTTTCGCACTGGTGTATCTGTGCTTTTAAAACAAAGTACAACACTCCGTAAATACCCGAATTATCAATCTGATAAAGTACACAGTTGGACATCACAAAGTACAACACTCCATAGATACCATAATCATAACATTAGAAGGTACTCAGAAGGACATCACAAAGTACAACACTCCATAGATACCATAATCATAACATTAGAAGGTACTCAGAAGGACATCACAAAGTACAACACTCCATAGATACCATAATCATAACATTAGAAGGTACTCAGTAGGACATCACAAAGTACAACACTCCGTAAATACCTGAATTATCAATTATAGTAAGTACACAGTAGGACATCATAAAGTACACCACTCCGTAAATACCGAATTATCAATCATAGTAAGTACACAGTAGGACATCACAAAGTACAACACTCCGTAGATACCCGAATTATCAACGCCATTAAATACACACCCATATTGTCAATTACATCATCCAGTCCAAATATATTAACTTTGTCAATAAAATAAAAAAGGAAAGTAAGAACTCATATTATCTGAAGTTATCAATAATACCAACCTACGTAACATACGTTATTAATAACATCAGTAAGTACACATTCATGCTATTGATAATATCAATAAGTGCATACTGTAATATGATTTATAAAGTAAGAACATTTCGAAATATTTTTATAATCAAATGTTACCTATTATTGGATAAAAAGGAGTTTATCTGTTTGGCTAATAACTTAAGAAAATCACTGATTACATTTTATTTTTTTGTTATTTCAATATACTAGAAGATGGTTTAAAATTTACTTACTAGTTGAGCGAAGGCGAAGATACAACATTAATGACAGAATTAAAGAGTTGGCCACACTTTTACCGCCCAATACTCATCCGTAAGTATTTTTTTAAAGTCATTTGTTTTGTTCGCACATGATACATTTTTCCTTAAGTATTTTTTATCATAAATTACACAAAATTTCTATGAAACAGATGAGTTAAAAAAATTAATTATATCTTAATAATATTTTTTTTAGAAAGTAAGGAATACTACACACAAAAAAGAAACCATAAATTGTCTTTTGAAAAATATATTTAAAAAAAATAATAACTTAATATTATAAAATTGACGACTTTGAATTTTAAATTAAGTTTCAAATGATCAAAAGTAGCTTTAAGTATTACTAAGTTAAATCACAACAATGAAAAATTTAAAGAACTTAAAAACATCTGTGACCTTTTTCTAGTTTTTGTCGGTGCTTAAAGTAAATTTAACTGGTTCAGTCATCTGGTCTGAATGATTTAAATATACTACATGTATCCATGTTTGTTTTTCTCTTTTTCAAAGTAACTTTTTTGCTAATTTTTAGAGCAATGAAATTGAACAAAGGTTCCATCCTGAAAGCGTCAGTGGAATATGTGAAGGAATTAAAAAAGGACAAACAGAAACTTATTTCGTTTGAAGTAAACCAGAAGGCGATGGAAGCTAAATACCAGAAAATGATGATTAGAATATTTGTAAATTATTTCTCAATCAATATATTACACACATATTCGTGATTTTCACTTATCTTTTTTTTTAATCTTAACCATTTTATCCATTTCTATCGTTAAGATAAAGTTATATGCAATATTCTGACTTCTGTTGTTGTACTTTTTCTCATCAAAGCAATTCAAAATGTAATAAATGCAACGTCCATATCTATTTCAGCAACTGGAACTGAAGTTGAAATTATACGGATTAACGGAAGATATTGATCGCAGTCAAACAAAAAGGAACAAGCGACCCAGAAGGAGGCTTTGCGAAATTGATGCAATGGTGGAAGATTTGATGAAAAGCAGTCTGCCGCAAGCTAGAAAATCCGATGAAAAATCGACGAATGAAACGTTCGAAAGACAACAATCGAATGCAGATACTCAACATTCAGGTAAAATCACAAACAAGTCGGCAAAAACGGGTTTAAGAAACTTTATTAGCAAGAAGTTAGCATACGATAACACGAAAAACAGGAACAAAACATCAAATGCTTCACTTACCCAGGAAATAAAAGCTTCTCGACAACATCCCCATTCAAGATCTGAAGAAAATGGAAATGTACTTCAAACTGAGAATAGCATCAACCAGCTCTCTACTCTATCACCTGAAACTCCGCAAAATAGTGTTGCAATGTCTGAACAGACAGAAGGATCAAATAATGAGCATTCAAGTTATTCACTTTTCCATTCTCCATCAAGTGCTGAATTAAGCTTGGATCAATGCAACCTTTTGCTAGATTTATTTGGAGCAGACAATATGACAATACTTCAACCGGAACCGGAGACTGAGGTCACCCCCGTCTCTTCTCCATCTCAAGTAGAAGACAAGTGCCCGTCTCCGGTTCAATCTCCAGTGACATTGACGACAAATTTGCTTGAAGCATTACTTTGGAAGTCCGACGGCAGCTCATCTTCCTCCGAGGCGCATTCTTTGGAAACTTCTACTGAAAATGCATGAATGGGCTAAGAAACAGTTGACGTGCGTTTTACATAAAACTTTTGATTTTGTCCATAAACAGTTCAAAGGATAGACCCTTGATTTTTCTGTCAATCAATCAGTAACAAAACTGCTTTGCAGCGATGCCCCTTTGGATATTGCATTCACGAATTGCGTTTCAGTTATCTCGGGAAACCATGTAAAACAGATGCAAATGTTTTTTACTAGTATGCATAAAAGGGGACTTGTTTTCTTTTTTAATTATTATTATAGATAATTATTAATATTTTTCGAAGGACCTAGAATTTTTTTTCTTTCATCTGATTTCGTTTTCAAGTGTACTGAAAACCATGATCTAAATCATAACACGGTGGTTATAAAGCATCATGAATTAAATCACGCACGATCTGCTTCAAAACAAAATGTTTTGCTTACGTAAAAGTTCCAAATTTGGCACGGAGTCGTTACAACAGTAAATATCTCAAAACTTGACAGAAATGTACTATTGGCACCGTTTTGTAACAGAAAAATCAACAAATTTCATAACACACAGACACGCATCAATAATTGTGAATAAGTTCCCCGCTGTATTTTAAAAGGTTTATCTTAATTTCTTTTGAGCAGACTAATACCTGCTAGAATTCTATCTTATCTTATCAGTATCGGATATCTACAATGGGTTCTACCTTTACTTCTTTGAAAAGCAATTTTGTAAAATATAGTCTTACAATTAGCATTTTTCATAATGTTATTCGGATATAGTGTTTTGCGAGTTTTGCCTCCTGCATTACTTGCAATAACAAATTACACTAGCATTGATGTATTGCTGAAATTTTATACTGGTTATATAAGCTTTACATTCATCAGCCGAATTTTAGAAGTAATACTGGTTATATAAGCTTTACATTCATCAGCCGAATTTTAGAAGTCGTTGTCAAATTCCTAATATATATTAATGCTAAGTTTAGGACTTTTAAGAAAAAAAAGTCTCGTTTTCAGTTTTATATAGTTAATATAGAGTTTATGATTCAGAGTGTTAAGTATTTTCTTATATTTATCCGTTTTATATAAATTGGTGCTCCGACGAGAAGAAGGGATCATCCAAAATAAGGAAACAAAGGTTCTCCCTCACTATGCACAATTAACTACTGTGTATATCAACACTGCCAATGCATCAGCTTCAGTATTATATGTCTGTGTAATTGCAGCATATTACTAACTGCCACATTTTCTACATTGTATACAGTTATGTTTTATTTTTATTCTTGTTTATATTCAAAGCATTATTTTTTATGTAAAAGTAAGAAACTGTGTCATTTATAGGGAAAATTTCTATATAAGACCTTTCTTGTGGGGTGTATTTCAGGCACAGGGTGTATATAATGCCTTGTATTTTTAGCACTATTAACCTCCACTAAATCACCATCTCAATAAACCTAAGACCATTTTGCACAACACGGTTTTAAATCAGAATTTATATGTATATGTAGAAGGAGATATATAAATGATGGGGTAAAAGTGAAACCCCTGAACATGGTTTCATACAAGGTCCCCCTAATTGATAATTATTCTATATATATATATATACTAAATGTATGTCTGTGGGATATATACTTTATATTGCAGGTCTTATATATATTATATATATATATATATATATATAGAAAGCACAAAGAAATTCACTTTTACATGGATACCCACTTCCGCCCCAGCCCGGGGTTGAACTCTCGACCTTTCGAATCTGTCTCCTAGCAGTGCAGGAACAGCGCGCTAGACCGCTCGGCTATCTAGGCAAGTCAAAAAACTTGCTTTCGATGCCGATGGAATTCTCGCGGCGCTGCCCTACACTACACGATCATTGAGAATAGAAGTGAGATACAGTTATTTGGACATTAGTTTTAACAGAGGATTGTTACCAATACATGTTGTAATGAAATTAATTATTATTTATAAAGCACATTTTACAACAACTCTTAAACTAACATAACTGCCCTAAGTGAAGAAATATTAATATAGAAAGCACAAAGAAATTCACTTTTACATGGATACCCACTTCCGCCCCAGCCCGGGGTTGAACTCTCGACCTTCGGAATCTGTCTCCTAGCAGTGCAGGAACAGCGCGCTAGACCGCTCGGCTATCTAGGCAAGTCAAAAAAACTTGCTTTCGATGCCGATGGAATTCTCGCGGCGCTGCTCTACACTACACGATCATTGAGAATAGAAGTGAGATACTTCTATTTGGACATTAGTTTTAACAGAGGATTGTTACCAATACATGTTGTAATGAAATTAATTATTATTTATAAAGTATATTTTACAACAACTCTTAAACTAACATAACTGCCCTAAGTGAAGAAATATTAATATAGAAAGCACAAAGAAATTCACTTTTACATGGATACCCACTTCCGCCCCAGCCCGGGGTTGAACTCTCGACCTTCGGAATCTGTCTCGCTTTATATATATATATATATATATATATATATATATATATATATATATATATATATATATATATATATATATATATATATATATATATATATATATATATAAGCCCCGGAACATGAAACATGAATATGGTTTTTTATCCCGCTTCAGACAAATTTGTCGATTACTGATTGGATAAAAGCTAATCACATGACGCCCTGAAATTTTCCGTATTACGTCTCCGTTTCCATATTACGTCTCCGTCGAGGCGTAATATGAAAATCGGGCACGCGATTCCGTTCGAAGCGTTGTTATTGTAAATAAAAATGGCGGCTAAGAAAAGGTTAACGTAGGTAGTTTAGTTAAATTTCTTGTTAATGTAACGATATTTTATGTTGATTGTTATTGGATTAAAACTAATATTTTCATAATATGCACAAATATTTTTTTGATATTGAAAAAGGTCTTCAGCGGGATAAATTCGTTACACAGTCAGTTAGTGACCTAATACGGATTCATACAGGGTGTGAAATGGAAATCCGTATTGGGACTCGTTCGCCGAGTCCCAATACGGATTTCCATTTCACACCCTGTATGAATCCGTATTAGGTCACTAACTGACTGTGTAACTAATAATACAAGGTCCCCGTAATTGACATTATATATATATATATATATATATATATATATATATATATATATATATATATATATATATATATATATATATATATATATATATATCCAAAATTTAAATAATGTCTCAGTAATCCGATAACAATATTAGAAAAAATTCAAAAGAAAACACAAAAATCCTCAGTTAAGCTTTAGCGCTTTCATTTTCAATCTTCAGAGACGTTCTGAAGATTGAAAATGAAAGCGCTAAAGCTTAACTGAGGATTTTTGTGTTTTCTTTTTAATTCTTTTAATATATATATATATATATAGTTGACGTGACGATTTACATCTTTTCAGCAAAAAATCTAGACAACGACGGAGAATTACAACAAGAAATTGCAAATGGAGTGCGTTTGAGCTATAATATAAATGATTTCTTGAGTTCTAAATCTGTTTTGATTTGATAAAGCTAAGGAAAAATCACTAACTCCCTTCATTCCAAAACCACTTATCCCAAGCCTTGAAGCATTCTCCTCAAGATTTGTGAATAAGTCTGCAAAGGACGGTAACCCTTCTGTAGGAAGAGGAAAAGACAACTCCGCCCCAACACTGCTTTCCAAAGTCGCAGACGAAATACGGCTTCTGATTGTTTCTAATAATTTGGTCTCATCGCAGCTTGGCTCCTTAACCATCACTAAGTGATATCCGGCTCCTGTAACTTAAGATTTATTCTATAAATGAAATATATATGTAAGACTCCAAAGTGCGATAGTGACGCCAAAGTCCGATGGTCTCACCAAACCCCGATGGATCGATGTCTTCGGACGCCAAAGTTCGACGGTCACGTCCAAGTCCGATGGCTCGTTTCCTTTTGTTTCATGTTCTGCTGCCGATGTAAAGCCAAATGCCATAGCCATATTGTTTAACAGATATATAGCCATCTTTTGGGGCTTCGTCATGTCCGAAAAATGTGAATCCAGGGCAAAATTTGGTATGTTGGTAACAAAAAAAGAAAAATCCGACAAAATAAGAGGCAGTTTGCTAAAAGTAAACAGAATGAGTCTGTCAGTTTGTATGATAATGAAGGATTATTTTGATTTGGACGCTTCTACTAATCATAACCATGACCTTATTTCCTTTAGTTCTTATAATACAAGGGAAAGAAGACAACTTTTTAAAGAATTCATACATTTTTACATTAGACCCACAACCTAAATTTAAGCCACTTATTCACAATTTATAGATAGTTGCACCCTTGTTCACAATATTTATGCACTAATAGCATGTCTGAACAATATACAAGTGGGAGAAAAGCAATAAAAGATTGTAGACTTTATTCTAACAAAACCTCATCCAATACTAGCTCAATACTAATAATAGTCTTGTCAAGAGTTTGATTTCTAGATCATTTGTATGGCTTTGAGACTCCTTTCAGGGTTATTGAGGACAGGGCCAAGGAAGCTCACAATTATTTCATCCCTTACAATAGATGACAATGGATTGGTGGTAAGCCCTTTGGTGACTATGATTAGTCTGGTTATGAAACAGGGCCCAGATTCAACTAGACTGATAAATTGATATTCATATTGTAATCCTTTGAATCAAAATGAATCCTCTGCATATTCTTCATAAAATTCAAAGTTACCAAATTATGAGAATGCTTTTTCAGAGATTTTTTTTCTATAAATAGTGGAATGACCAGCATTTAACAAATCTTATTAGCAAATCACTTTGTTAACAAATGTGCTGAACAAAAAGCAGTAGGACACGACAGATACTGCGTAGGATAGATAGAAGAAGAAAGGTAAAGAGGAGTCAGAGAATTGGAACATCTTGTTGGGTCCAGCCTGAAAGATGAGAACAGTGATGGCGAAGGTGATGATCAGATAGATGAATCCTTTAAAAAACTAGGAGAACTAGTAAATAAAGGAACTCAATCCCATCATCCTCATCGTTTCCTGTAAAAAAAAAAG